TACACCTGTAGTACAGAGATAATATAGTACAGAGATAATATGGTAATCTTACGTTCTAATTTTTCGTTGCTTTCGTTGCCTACCACTTCGTCAGAGTCGGAGTCATCGTCCTCACCATAAGTAAACATGGTTGATGCTGTTGTCTCTACCCTCTGGGAATTCAAAGAGATGTCCGGTTCCGTCGTTTTACTGGAAGTTCTTTTACGAGTATTATAAGTAGGTATTGTCTCTGACCGCATTTCTTGTCGTTTTCGATTGTTTGGACTCTCGGGTAAAATCGTGTTCTTACCCGAATTTATTGTAATGGTACTTGTAGTTGTGTCAACACACTTCCCAGTGTATGCTACTGTCAGATTACTTCTTTTCAGGCAAGCTTTTCTCTTCAGTATGCACCTCGTCGGATATGTTTTGCCGTCACTACCACAGACATGCCGTATTAGATATGAAGGCGTAGGGGGACATCTTACACACATTTTACCTGAATCGTTTGCCAAAATACTATTGTAAAAGTTTCAATTATATCATTAGATTGTGTTGTTAATATCGACATTGTTTATGCATACGGTACAAATCTATTTCATAAGGAAATGTGTTTCAACCAGCCGCATATTGGGCTAATGATTAGTTTTCAATAATGTTGCTTAAATGTGAGCTAGGAGCTTAAACCTTAATATAAACTGAATAATATAATTTCACTAGTGCACCTGTCATCATGTATTTTATATTAAAAGCACGGGCGTACCTTTTTTAGGCGTTTTAGTTGTATCTATGAGATCGGAAGGTTTTTGTGTTGGTTCTGTCGACGTTGTTGGTATTAAAATGGATGTTGGCTCAGTCGGGTCTAAGTTGACTGTTGTTCTCCCTGACGCATTGGTTACTCTCAGATAATTTCTCTCACATTTTCCTTTGTAGTCTACTTGTATAACACTTTTTTGCAGACAGGCCTTTCGTAAGAGAACACAATTCGATGAATACGTTTTGCCGTCTGTCCCACACACTTTCTCCGACTGTGTTGGCTTAGGGCACACGGGACATGTAACGCCTGAAACAAAATGAACCAGAACTGAAATCATTTTACATATTTTCCAAATATTCATCATCAGAAAGCCACTACATGATTATCGTCATCGTTTAATCGGACATAATATCCGACTTGGATATGAACTATGTATTATCCGGGAGTTGTATTATGTGTTGCACATCATCTGTAGACGCTGAACGCATTATAAGAATAACATTATAATAATAATTAATGTCTATTTGATGATCATCATATAATAAATCTCACTGATGCATATTACAACCTGTTTGACTTTGA